TAGAAATGACAAGAGAATTAGCACAATTCAATTATAAAGAGAAAAACATGTAAATAAGGAAACCAAAACGGCTGCATCAAATAAATTGGAAGAAATAGATAGCTCAAAAAGCATAAAAAATGTTACAAAAAAGAGAGAAAATGAAAATATATCTTAAAAAAAAATTCAACAAAATTTGATAGGTTTGGAATAAATTATCTCTATCATTTCTAACTGCTGAGGGTCATATTAAAAATTTATAATAACACATGTTATTAAATAGTACGTTGCAACCATTATATATAAGGCATCATTTTTCAGAGCCTCTGTAAATTAGAAAAATGTCACATAAGTTCAAAAATCAAATGTTCCCAGCAAAATTGATAAAAAAAAACTAAAAGACCATGAAATCAAAATAAAAATATCTAATCCAATAGAAGTTCCTAGCATAACATATTTGTGAATCTAGCAAAAATTCAAACTAATATGGGGATAAGTCATTAAAAAAGAGATTAATGTCCTATCTCTCTATAGTCAACTTACTAATAAAGTACACTACATAAAATTCAGATTTTACCGGCGATTTATCTAAAAGATTTTTTGTTGTTTAAAAACCGCCGGAATAAACCGTATAGGAAACTATTTCCGGCGGTTATAATCACCAGCGACTTTCCGGCGACAGGGACGGCCGGTAATGTCCGACAGTCATAACGCAGGTGACCGCCACTTAATCACCGGCGGCGTACCGGCCGTCAAAACTGCTGGTGTTACCGGTGGCCAAATCGCTGGTGGACCGCCGTCGATCGTCAGTTAATCACTGACGGCTACCGGCCATCAGAACCGCAGGTATTACCGGCGGCTAAACCGTCGGGTTAAAGCCGGATTACCACCAGCGACCGTCGGTAAACCGCCAGTAATTACCAGCGGCTGTATTGAACTTCCGGCAGCTATAATAAGTCGTTTGCTATCGAGGTTTCCAGAAGTCCAAACCGCCGATTATTTTAAAAAATTTTGAAAGCCTCCCCTATATATTTCTTGAATTTTATCCTAAACCTTAAACCTGCACAAAATAGACAATAATTATCACAAATATGGACAACACGCCACTATAATCAATTACAACTATTATAAAGTCTACAAAGTTCATTGAAATGAAATGAAATATACATATTATCATTGAAATGAAATGAAATACACATATTATCATTGAAATGAAATGAAATCCACATAATCAATCACAACTATTATGAAGTCTACAAAATTAACATATATAGTATTGAAATGAAATCCACAATAAGCAAATAAAGTCTACAAAGTTCATCAAAACAAGTAAACTCATCAAACTAAATAAACAAATAAAGTCTGATAACATATAAATCCACAATAACATGTCCATGTCCTCGCTTTCACACAACAAGTTTATCAAACCAAATGTTTAAACCATAAGTTTATCAAACAAATAAGAGTACGTACTAATCATCTCCGGTTTAGACCGCCGGAAAAAGTCACTTAAAACCAGTGGTAATAGCCGCCGGTAAAGCGCCGGTAAATAATACTGTCAAACTAACCGCCGGTTATTAGACCACCACTAATTCTGACAACGGTTAATTAAATAACCACCGGTTGAACCGCCGGTATTACCGGTGGCTATATAACTGTCGGTATTGACCGCCGGAAATACCTAAATTTCCTATAGTGATAATCATCTCTTAACCTCAATGGGCCAATCAATTTTTAGCATCCACTTAATTTATAAGACACCATTATATTAACCTTCATCACTATTTCAATAGTTTCACGATAGTTAAAGTTAAAAAAAAAAAAAAAAAAAATTATAGCCCTCCAAATTGCATATTCTAATATGAAGATGATATGAAGAAAATTTTTCTTAGTAGTATATGGTAGTACTTATTTCTTGTTAGAAACACCAAATCCAGGCTACTTATACTAAGAAAGAAGTGTCTATTGGACTAAACATAACAAATAAGCCACTTAGAATGTGAGCAAGCAACAAATAAATGCATGAGTTTCCAAATAAAGTTCATAGATCTTAAAATTTTCATATGTTATAACACTGCTCAATATCACATAATACATAGCTTTTTAACCCTCTCTAAAAGCCATCCAATATAAAAGAGAATGTCTAATCAAATGATCTTTGAACTAGATGTATTAGTGTCAATCCACATTATAAGTATTTCTAAAAATTAACTTTTGTAGCTTTGAAATAAAAAGAAAAAATCAAGCTCAAAATTCTATATAATGCAATCATTGACTCTACAAATGATTTTGTTTATTAGGGTGTTGTAGTAAGATATTGAACGGTTATCTTTATAGATTATCGACTTGAGCTTTTTATGTAAAGGCTTATTGAAAATAGATATACATTTATGGCCTAAAATTTATCGAGAACTACAACCTTCAAGCCAAGGGTCAAGAAAACATTATACATTGTACAGTTTATCCAAAATTGAGAAACATTATACATTATCAGGCTAAAAAGAAAGCTATCCTCCAAAACACCACAAAGAAAGATGATTGGTTTGAATAAGTATTCTCCACTTAATTCATGTATTTTATAATTAATTGTGTATGAAAAAATCATTAAAATCAGTCCCTCCTCTATTTTTGTAGAGAGTAGTTTTATGCCAACAAAAAAGATGTATTTTCCTAGTATCATTATCATCATAAAAGAATGAACTAATGATAGATGCTAGATTCTTTAAAATACATTTCAGAACAAAAATCGATTTAAACCAATAGAATATAAAGCTATTGATTGATGAATGAATGAGTTGGAACCATCCTACTAATAATAATAAATTATTTGGTCATCCCTTCAATCAACTATGAAGCATGTCAAATTAGGGAGGAAGGCAAGCAACAAGTTGAATTTCCCCTAATAAGAGGTGTTTATCAAAAGCTCATTAGGAGTTTGCTTATCTTGATCATAAAGATACGATACTTGATTGATCAATATTCTAAAAATAATTTTAACATATGCATTATCACTTTAAGCCTCATATGAAAATCCAAGAGCTTAAGATTGGTAATAAGAGTTTTCAAGATCATTGAATCAACATTTTCCATAGTAAGAATGATGAGGTGGGTAATGATAGCATAATGATTATGAATAGGAGAGTAACATGCATTAGAAGAAGTCCATGAAGTTAAAAAGATAAATGGAGACAAAGGGAAACAATTTCTATTCTTATTTATTGAATTAGAATGGTCCTTTATCTCACCCACTAAGCATAATTTAGAGAGGGACATTATTATGGATTTTGATATCTAGTTAATAAAAATAGAAGGAAACCCTTTTTGAATAAGTTGTTTAAGAACTAAATATAATCTTCGTTAACAGTATCAAATGTAATTTCATAAGTATTAAGATGGTAATAATGCGCTTTACCTTGTTAGAAGATCTCCCAAATTCAAAAAAATGATGAATAATAAGTAGCAAATGATGCCTGATAATTCCTCATGAGTAAATGAAGAACTAAGCAGTGAATCTATCAAGCATTAAAGCCTTGTTATCATTAATACAATTCTTCCAAGATCTCTTTGTCAAAACAAGGAGCGAATAGATTTTCAAACAATATTTCAATAGAGTTAGTGTTGCCAACATACAATTCAGAATCCTAAGGTCGAATGGAAATAATCTCGTCAAAGAGTTCAATTAAATTTGTAATAATTAATTTCTTTTGTAATGTCAAAAATTGAGTTAAAATCCCAAAGGTAGAGGATAGAGAAATAAGTACAATATTTTGGTTTGTTCTTACACTTAATAGAATTATACAAAAAATTGAGGTCATCCTAACCTTTTGTCAACCAACCATATTTGGCTCTTTGCTTGACCAAAAAGCTTTCAACAAGAATACTGACATTACTAAAGACATTCTCCAATTTATAAAAGATCTCTTCCTATTCTTTTTTTTTTTTGAGAGAAGTAATGATCTGCATAAAGTTTGATTTGTAAAAGATATGATCTATTTAAAGTATTATTTCATATAATTTTCTTTAAAGAATTCTTAGCTGCCTCAAGCTTCATGAAGAATACAAATATAGGATCCCCCATCACAAAAGAAAAATTATTCTGTGCAGATACCGAACATCATTTGGAGACCAATAAAAATGCAGCACGTCAGTCTTTTACTGTACCGCGGCTCAGTACCGCTCAGCACCGTGGCATCCGGATGTAGAGCTGCGTCCAGCATCTGCACAGAAGAATTTCTCCATCACAAAAGCCTCTCAAGTAACAAAAATCAAAGCATTAAAATCCGCAAAGTTAGTCCAACAATTTTTATTTTTTAAAATTAAACCAATTAATATTCTCTATAGAATTTTGCCTTGAATGATATAAAAAGAGACGCACAAAGTGGTTTTATCTATTATATTTGCGCGTCTCTTTTTTTTTTTTAAATTAAACCAATTAATATTCTCTATTAAACAAACTAAGTTGTGAATGATATAAAAAGAGACTCATAAATCTTATAGAATGAAAGAGAAAGTGTTTAGCCATTGAGTGTTGCATAGAATTTCTATTAATTTTCGCCAATCATCTCTTCACTATACTAAATGTAATTAAAATTTCTAATGATGAATAAAAAAATGAAGAGGATAATTTAGTGATGCAAAGAGATTTTCTTTAACAATAATTGTATTTATGAAAAAAAATAAATGAAACTGAACTTATCTGAGGTAAGATAAATAATCTTATCATAATAAGATAGAGGCTTAAGAGCATTTCTAATTTATCCCATTTAATTCACATTTGCCCATTAAAAATTATTGCAATTTTTTTATGATGGAAATATGTAACTATTATAAATTTTTATGATAAAAAATTGATAATCTTTATTTAAAATAATATTTGACAGTTATTTGATAGTTTTAGTGAATTATATGAAGTCCTACTTTGTTGGTACACGATAATGGAAGTTCCGCACGTTCAACCGAACTACAGATGATCAAGGAGATTTCCGCTCCTTTGAAAGAAGGAAATAAATATTCTGTCCCGTTCGATTACCCCCGAAATCTCACTTGTAATACCGCGTCCCTTACCTGCGGCCAGTGACCGTGCTACGCCACCTACGCCGTTTTCTCCGATGATCACCGGCGTTCAAGTCGCCGCCTTTTCAGATTCCGAGAACGGTAGCAGCGTATCCTTGCCGGAGACCATTGATCCCTGTCCGCCGGACGTCGAAGCCCTTCGCCGCCTGTCCGACAACCTCGGCTCTCTTTTCCAATCTCCCGAGTTCGGTTTCTGCGCCGACGCCATCATTTCCGTTGGTCAAGCCGAGTTCGGCGTCCACCGCTGCGTGCTTTCGGCTCGCAGCCCCTTATTCCGCGATTTCTTCGCCAGGAAGGGGAGGACGAAGGTTGAGCTGAAGGAGTTGGTGGGAGATTTTGAGGTGGGGGCCGAATCGTTTGCGCTGGTTCTTGAATATCTGTACAGTGGGAGAGTGGGTGCGTTGCCAAAGGGCGTGTGTATGTGTGCAGATGAGGAATGCTCTCATGTCGGATGCCGGCCGCTAATCGATTTCATGGTTGAGGTGCTTTACGTGTCTTTCACGTTTCAGATATCTGAGCTCGTTAATCTCTTCAAGGTAAGTTCAATTCTTTTCATTTAGGGATTTGTTTGTTTCGTGATAACATGTTGATGTTTCAAGGATCATAGGCTGATTGGATGATAGGCCGATAATATCTGTTATGTTATGATTTTTTTTTTTCTAAAATTAGGTTTAGGTGTTTCAAATTGGTTTTTTGCCCTGAGTTGACAAGGTTCGCGGATTGGGTTAGTAGATTGCTTGAATTGGCTGTTCTGTTTCTTCTGAAAACTTGTGCTTCGTTTGAATTTTATGTAAAAAAACTTAATGGAGTTCTTAAATATTTCTTGCGAGAAATTACTTGCTTATACGATTCAAGTTCTCGAATTCATATAAGAACTTCTTCATAATTATGTTATTTTTTTCTTACAAGAACTCATAACATGCATTATGAGTTCTCTAACTTTTATAAGAACTCGCATCAAATATATGTAAAAGAAATCAAAACGGAAACTTGAAATTTACATAAGTCTTAAATCCTCAAGATCTTAAACAAGATGATTTTCACAATCTCTTAATTGAAAGAAAATCATACCTTGATTCATTTTGAATTCGTCGAATTCGAAACTACGGTTTCTCTCCCTTCACTTTCTTCTCTCATGAGTTAGTTCTCTATGGAGCAAAGCAACTCCTCATATAATGAGAGAGAGAGAGAGGACCGGTAGTTATTTCCTACGTATTTGTTACAATAACCGCATAGGAGTTATTTCCTATGGATTGGTTACAATAACCGCATATGAGTTATTTGATCAAACGGTTCATAAACAAATGATCAAATTATTTCTTCTTGACCAATAGGATTAAACATAAATAATTAAATTTCAATAATTCTAATATATGGGCCACTTAATGAGTTATATAATTAAATATACATACTTAAATAATTATTGCGACGTCTCGCGTAATTAAATGTATATAATTATTCTAACATTCTCCCATTTGGCCCATATGAAATTATTCAATTAATAATTCAATTATCATAAACATAAAGCGCAATAAATAAATCCTTTTCTTTAAATTGGTCAAATCATTATTTCATTATTAAGTACAAAATTAATACGGATCATGGCGGTCATACACCATTTGATCGATGCATTTCCTTCCATGTATCACGATACTAATTTTATACATAATATGAAGCATAAGAAGATACACATAATGGTCCAACAATGATGTCTTTACAAAAGACAAATCCCATCAATATTCACATAAACATTCATGTATACACAACATAATAAATGGGATACACCAATTGTTAGAAATAAAATAAAAGAGCTCAAAGTATCAAAAGACATAAAGAGCAAATAAATATATGCTTAATAAGGATTATCGGTAATGCCCATCCTAACAACATGTTCATGAAATGTCTTCGGTGGCAACCCTTTAGTTAATGGATCCGCAATCATAAGATTGATGCTAATGTGCTCAAATGATACTATTTGTTTCTGAACTTCTTCTTTAACGACAAAGTATTTTAATTCCATATGTTTAGCGCCCTTTGAATACTTGTCATTCTTAGAAAAGAAGACTGCTGCGGTATTATCACAATAAATTTTCAGCAGCTTGGCAATACTGTCAAAAACTCCAAGTCCTGAAATAAAATTTCGCAGTCATAATTCTTGAATTGTGGCCTAAAAACATGCCACAAACTCAGCTTCTATTGTGGATGCAGCAATGACGGACTGCTTCGCATTCTTCCAAGATATTGATCCTCCACTTAAGAGAAACACATATTCAAATGTGGATTTTCTAGAATCCAAACATCCAGCAAAATCTGAATCTAAATATCAAATCACCTAAAGGTGATCAGATCTTCTAAAAGTAAGCATGTATTCCTTTGTTTCTTGTAGATATCTTAAAACCTTCTTTGCTGCTTTCCAATGATCAAGCCCTGGATTACTTTGATATCTACCCAACATTCCAACAGCAAAACTTATATCTGGTCTAGTACAAGTCTGAGCATACATTAAATTTCCAACAATATATGCATAAAGAATTTGTTCCATTTGTTTATATTCTAATTCATTTTTTGGGCATTGCATAAGGCTCAATTTATCTCCTTTCTGAATTAGAACAATGCTTGCTGAACAATTTGTCATCTTAAATCTCTCAAGAACTTTATTAATATATGCTTTCTGAGACAATCCTAATATTCCTTGTGATCTATCACGGAATATTTCAATTCCTATCACATAGGATGCCTCACCCATATCTTTCATTTAAAAATTATTTGAGAGAAATTTCTTAGTTTCATATAATAAACCAAGATCATTAGTAGCAAGCAAAATGTCATCAACATACAAAACCAAAATTATAAACTTGCTTCCACTGACCTTTAGATATATACACCGATCAACGGTGATTTCTTTAAATCCAAATGAAGTGATGATATTATTAAACTTGAGATACCATTGTCGTGAAGCTTGTTTAAGTCCGTATATTGATTTCTTAAGTTTACACACCATGTGATCCTTTCCTTCAACTGAAAACCCTTCAGGCTGATCCATATAAACTTCTTCCTCTAAATCCCCATTAAGAAAGGCTGTTTTCACATCCATTTGATGTAACTCTAAATCATAATGAGCTACTATCGCCATAATAATTCTTAATGATTCCTTCTTAGAAATTGGAGAGAAAGTCTCTTTGTAGTCAACACCATCTTTCTGAGTAAAACTTTTGGCAACAAGTCTAGCCTTATATCGTTCAATATTGCCTTTAGAGTCACGTTTGGTCTTAAAGACCCACTTACACCCAACTCTTTTGGAACTTTCAGGCAATTCAACGATGTCCTAGACTTTATTATGATCCATTGATTTTAACTCTTCCTTCATGGCATCTAATCACTTATTAGAATTCACACTTTCTATGACTTGTGAAAATGAAACTGAGTCATCATCAATTCCTAAGTCAAAATCTGACTCTTGAAGATAAATCATATAATCATTCGAAATAGCAGATCTTTTAACTCTAGTAGATCTTCTTAATGCTACTTCTTGTGGTTCATTAAGTATAGGTTCATTAGTGATAACTTCATTTTGGGATGTATTATCATTTATTTACTCATCCTGTATATTGTCAAACTTTTCAACAACTATAGGATTAACAACTTTATTAGAAGTGACGGGCAAATGAATTTTCACCCCAACTTCTTTAACCTCTACATTACGAGGTTCTATACTCCCACTAATCTCATCATTCTCAATAAACCTAGCATTTCCAATTTCAACAATTTTTGTACTATGATTAGGACAATAAAATCTATACCCTTTAGATTTTTCTGGATAACCAATGAAAAAATCACTGGTTGTTCTAGAATCTAGTTTTCTTTCATGTGGATTATAAATTTTTATTTCCGTCGGACAACTCCAAATATGCAGGTGCCATAAACTAGGGTTTCTTCCTGTCCACAGTTCAAAGGGAGTCTTTGAAACTACCTTACTAGGAACCCTATTTAACAAATACATAGCGGTTTTTAAAACATGCATCCACAAAGATAAGGGTAAGGAAGAATAACTTAATATACATCTAACCATATCCATTAAAGTACGATTGCGTCTTTCTGCACCACCATTTTGTTGTGTTGTGCCAGGCATTGTATATTGAGCATAAATGCCACGCCTTTCAAGAAATCTAGCAAATGGACCAGGACATTGTCTAGATTTATCATATCTTCCATAAAATTCACCATCTCTATCAGACCTTATGATTTTCACTTTTCTATCTAATTGCCTCTCAACCTCATTAATAAACACCTCAAGGACGTCTATTGATTGAGATTTTTCATACAATAAATAAATATAACCATAACGTGAAAAATCATCAATAAAGGTAATAAAATATTTTTCACTACCAAAGGAAGATACATCAAAAGGTCCACATATGTCAGTGTGTATGACTTCAAGAAGCTGTGTACTTCTTATGGCTGAGCACACCAGAACCAATAAGTTGATTACACTTAAATAAACTGAAACATCCACTTCCAAACTTAAAACAAAAACCAGTTGTATCAACTTTTGATAAAGAAACTAAATTTCTAGAAACAGAAGATACATAAAAAGTTTGAAATAGATCTAAATGATGTCCAGTATCTAAAATCAAACGATATGTTCCAATGGCTTCAACTTGAGCTTTGACTCTATTTCCCATGAAGACAAACTTTTCATTTGGCTTTATGGTTTGGGTCATAAGAAATCCATGCATCACATTAAAAACATGAGTGGTACAACCAGAATCAATCCACCAAGTATTATAAGGAACCTCAGCCAAATTTGATTCGAAACATACAAAAGTACTAGGCTTACATTTCTTTTCAAACCAAGCCTTACGCTTCAGGCAATCTTTTTGATAGTGTCCACGCTTGTGACAGAAATGACATCTATCATTCTTTGGTTCCTTCTTTTGGATTTGAGCAGATGACACATTAAGTTTTAAGTGTCTTTTATTGCCCTTTGAATTTTTCTTTCCTGATTTTCTTTTAAAATCTGGTTGATTTATGAGATTAATTGAGTGAATTCATTGTTTCTTAAGTCTTGATTCCTCTTGAATAAACATACTCTGTAATTCAGTAACATTCAATTTATCTTTAATAGTATTATAATTAATTTGAAATTGATCATATTCAGGAGGCAGTGAGTTTATAATAAACTGTACAAAAAAGCTTTCACTCACTTTCATTCCCATAGTATTCAATTTTGCTGCTATATTAGTCATTTCAGTAATGTGCTCATAAATAGTACGAGAACCATCAAATTTCATAGTGGTTAACATACCCATTAAAGTCCCAGCACGTGACTTATCAGCAGTCTCAGATTGAGATACATTCTCCACAAACTTCATGAATTATTTAGCATTATTTGTTATTGGAAGTGTTGGCTTAATAATGTCTGCTACAGTCATTCGCATAAACATTAGGCTTAATCTATTTGATATTTCCCAAGTTTCATGAAAAGATTTTTCTTCAATACTGCTTGTATCAGTGAGAGTAGTAGGCTTATCATTAAGTAGTGCAAAATCCATATCCAAAACTCCTAAATGAAACTGGATTTGTTCACTCCATTCAGAATAATTAGGCCCATTGAACTTTATAATAGATGAAGCTTGCGAATGAAGAATTACAGAATTAGATGCTGAAAAAATAAATACAAGACTCACATATCGATGATTTGAAAATTAAATTCAAAATATAAAACAGATTCAGATAACATTCAAGTAATCAGTAAAATGTATATTATAGTTCTCCTTTGGGTGATACTACAATACACAATGATAATCATAATTGATGCTTAAAATAAAATTCTCATAATTGATAATTATACATACTCCAATTAAATATATTTGCTATCTTTGGATATACTAAATATATTTAATTAAATATGATAATTTATCACATTTATATCCAATTGTACAAAATGACTAATCAACCTTTGGGCGATTCTTAAATATTTTTGTAGCAATTGAATGTTAATTACTCGTGATAAAATTTTTATAAAACATTATGTTATTCTGTTAATAGCATCGCATACTTATGAGTAATTAAATATTATCTAATTGATATTTATGAAAACTTTCTAGTTTGACCACTTTGGTGATTAACAAACTATGCTTGATATAAATATCAAATTAAATAATTACGTCGATGATTATTTCAAATAAAAGAAATTTCATAATGTATATAATTACATATACAAACTAAATTTCTTTAAAAGCAAAATCGGATTTACATCATTAACTTTCATATGATAAATCCTTTCATAATGAAATAAATAACATAGATTATTTCCAAAAACAAAATAGAAACATAATTAATCTGCCATGAATTAACCATGACAAAATATGATTCGATAATAGATACAATAATTGAAATCGATAATAAATCACATAAATTCGATTTCATTAGAAAGAAATGTCGTAGAATTTAAAGAAAACCTAAACGGAAAATCACAAGTTTTCAACCATGATCTGATACCACATGTAAAAAAAAAACTTAATGGAGTTCTTAAATATTTCTTACGAGAAATTACTTGCTTATACGATTCAAGTTCTCGAATTCATATAAGAACTTCTTCATAATTAAGTTCTCTTTTTCTTACAAGAACTCCTAACATGCATTATGAGTTCTCTAACTTTTATAAGAACTCGCATCAAATATATGTAAAAGAAATCGAAACGGAAACTTGAAATTTACATAAGTCTTAAATCCTCAAGATCTTAAACAAGATGATTTTCACAATCTCTTAATTGAAAGAAAACTGTTGACCCCTATACCTCAAACCATGCTAGAAAGGACCCAAATCAGTTGATAAAGCGATAAAGGTCTTAGCGCCACACGTCACTTGAAGGGTTAAATGACCTCCGATTGCCAAATGGACGGTGTCATTGCGATCAGAATGTCGAATTCTGCTAGGTCGAGGCCCATCGCAGTCAAACCGGATGAGATTGGTCAAAAGAGACGGCCGACACCCGAAATTAAAGAGCGAGGCTGATCAAACGATGTCGTATCAACAAACGGACTTCATCATTGTGTTCAAAACATTGCAAATACTCAAAAATTGTATTTTATTTGTTCAATTTGGATCATCCTAATTAGTGACATGAATTTCAAGACAACGCGTATTTCGAGAAAATCAGGCCTCGACGTCGCTTAGATGATGTCCGATCATGAAACGGACTATGCCATTGAGTCCAGAACATCGTCAACATTCAGAAAATATATTTTATTTGATAAATTTGGATCATCTGAGATGGTGATGAATTTTTACGTGATGCAAATATGATATAATGCATGCGTTACGACGGAAACAAGGCCTCGAAGATGCTTGGATGACGTCCGATCGACAAGTGGGCAGCGCCATTGAGTCCAGAACATCGTCGACATTCAGAAAATATATTTTATTTGATAAATTTGGATCATCTAAGATGGTGATGAATTTTTTAGGTGATGCAAATATGATATAAATGCCAGCGTTACGACGGAAATAAGGCCTCGAAGATGCTTGGATGACGTCCGATCGACAAGCGGGCAGCGCCATTGCGTTCAGAACGTTACCGACATTCAGAAAATACATTTTATTTAATAAATTTGGATTATCTGAGATGGTGGTGAATTTTTAGGTGATGCAAATATGATATAATGCATGCGTTACGACGGAAACAAGGCCTCGAAGATGCTTGGATGACGTCCGATCGACAAGCGGGCAGCGCCATTGCGTTCAGAACGTTACCGAAATTCAGAAAATACATTTTATTTAATAAATTTGGATTATCTGAGATGGTGGTGAATTTTTAAGCGATGCAAATATGATATAAATGCCTGCGTTACGACGGAAATGAGGCCTCGAAAATGCTCGAACGATGTCCGATCGACAAACGGACAATGCCATTGTGTCCGGAACATCGTCTCCATTAAGAATCTACATTTCATTTGATCAAATTAAATTGTTTGAGGTGGTGTCGCAAATTTCGAAGGTGATTCAATTATGTTGCGAAGATATGCACTACGAGGAAAACGAGGCCTCGAAGACGCTCGGACGACGTCCGATCGACAAACGGACAATGCCATTGCATCCGGAACATCGTCTCCATTAAGAATCTACATTTTATTCTATCAAATCAGATCGTTTGAAGTGGTGTCGTAAATTTCAAAGGTGATCCAAATTTGATGTGAAGGCACGCACTACGAGAGAAATTAGTCTCGTCGGAGACGACACGACGTCCAATCATTAAACGGATAGCGTCATTACGTCCGGAACGTCGTCGGCATTAGGAATATACATTTTATTTGATCAAATTAGATCGTTTAAGGTGGTGTCTCAAATTTTGAAGCGATTCGAATATGATGTGAAGGCTCGCGTTTCGATGGAAATTAGGCCTCGTCGTTGCCCAAACGAAGTCCGATTGCGAAGCGGACTATGTCGTTGCGACCGGGACATCGACAATACCCCAAATACACTATTAATTTGTCTGATTCTAATATTCGGCAAACTGACACAAAAAATGAGGCAAAAGCACAAATTTCAAGGAAAATGCACAAATCAAGATCGCTTTCATTAACTGATGCATTATTGTCATCCTCAATTAATGCTATTACTAATTATAGCAAATCATTATTAACATTGCCTATGTGTTTAAGCAAAAAAATGAAAAGTCAAATAAGATTTCAAATCAAATTAACTTGTAAACCTCGTTGTGTCGAAATCCTTCTTAGGGATTCAGTAAATCCCGCTGCTGTAGCAGCTCCGGTCTTTCTCCCATCAGCTCCATGATGCGATTTCTCCTCAATCTAGCTTTTTGTCTGTCGTTTAGAAGAGATTAAACAGAACCTTGTTAGTTTCTGGGGCTACAGATATGAATCCCGTCTCTATTTTCTTGGTGGGTGGACAGACTCCTGAGGCCTTTACAACCTGCCCCTCATGTAAAATCCCACTGGAACTCCTCCCCTCCATCGGTCTCGTGCTCTCCTACTACACCAGCACCCACACAATCTTCTCCAATCGGAAGTCTCCCATCCAGAGCATCCCAAAACCAGCTGCAACTCTTCCTCTCGCCTTTAACCTGTAAGACCTCACGCCTCTACTTCCCGTTCTTCAACTCCACACACACTTAAAACCTGGCATACCACTCCAATACACGAGAGCTCCCTATGCAATTTTCCCTGAGAGGAATAATGGAGATCAGAACTCGAGCTCCAGGAAAGATCATCCTCTCCGGTGAGCATGCTGAACAGTCCACGGATCCACGGCCATTGCTACCGCCATGCATCTTCAAAAGACTAAATCAGCTTCTAGAAGGAATCTAATTATCATACACTATTCTGTAATGAGAAGATGGAAAAGAGGGAGCGAATAGAAGATTTCAAGGATGCTGCTCTCCATTCGGCTACCAAGAGAAGAAAATGTGTTGCTCTCCACTTGGCCAATCCTCTTTTCCCTACAAAAATTCAGCCAGCTCTCCTATTCACTTGTTAGGCCAAGAGGAAAGCAAGGAACAAAAGCTGCATTAGTTTGGAGCAACATAATGAAGAAAGCTTGGTGGATCTTCATGCATGCAACGGTTTAGAGGAAAATCATCTGAGCAAGAATCAAATGGAAACTTGTTAAAGCTTTTCTAGATTTCTCTCTTTTGATCAAGAAGAGCTGCAAAGGAATCTTCAGACACTTAAGCTGTAAGAAAATCTAGAGGATGTCCAAAACTAGAAGAACTTCCTAGAAACATGCTCCTGTCAGTGGATCGTGACCTGGTCCGATTTGTTGCTCCAAGCATAAGGTTGACAGCTATAGGCATATATAGTGTATTTCAAGCGTCTGCAGCTCAGGAAGGAGCTGTTGGAGTTAAACAACCTTATATTAGGAATTGTTGGCATGGAACTGGCCAGCCACCTTCACTTTAGATGTGTTGGAGTTTAAAGAATTTGCCCAGAGGCCTGATGCTTATGCTAAGTTATGCGCTATGATTTCTTCATCAATTTATGGGCATGTTAATGTCAAGAAGGCTATAGTTTGCCTGTTATTTGGGGATTCAAAGAAAAGGCTGCAGATAGGGGTGCGACTAAGAGGAGAAATATATGTCCTACTATTTGGAGACTCCTCAATTGCAAAATCTCAGATGTTGCAGACTGCTGAGCAAGAAGCTAGTTTAGTTGATTCAATAGCACCATCACTTGCATTACCAAAAGCTATCTCAAATGCTGTTTCTTGATCTCCCTTCTCATTTTGTGTATATATATATATAAAAAAAAAAGAAAGAAGAAAAAAAAAAGAAAAAAAGAAGAAAAGAGAGAAAAAAAAGGAGAATGAAAAGAATTTTTTTTGCCTCGATTTTCGAACCCTTGTTTGCTCTCTTACCTCGACATGCGTGTCGAGTCGGTGGTCTACCTATGCACGCTTTTCAATGGCTGGGGATGACTTACGTGGGAGATTGTTGTACCTTGAAAATAGAGGTAATAGACGCTCTTTTTTTATTTTCTTAATCTCTTGTGAGATTTTGGCTGTGCATTTATGTCTGTGCTTTACTGAATTTTTTAGCATGATCCTATCATCTTTTCACTTTTTCATGTATTTAGTATGATTTTTAGATCTTTGCTTTAGGAAAGGAAAAAAAGTTTGTTCTTTGCTATATGGTAATCAAAATATAACTAGATTCGTCACATGAAAACTGTTGTTGCATATTTATAGTTTAAAAGATTAGTTATAATGTGGTTATTGCTTCTTGTGCTGATAATTATCATATTCTTCTACTACACTGCCTATAGAGAGATAAATGGATAAATAACAGTATGACAGATGTGCCATTGATGGTTTATATTTTACTCCAATCATGGACGAGTTGTTAGGTAAAGGTTATTACTAATCTATGTTAAACTTCCTATCTAAATGGCGTAAACATATAGCACTAAGAAGAATGTTCTACACAGCATTGAGATCTGACTATCTGATTTAGTGAAGATCCTCATATTTAATTGCTATCACTAATTAAATATTAACTAAGTTTTCATAGAAATATCTTGGTTGTGGAGGGTTACTATGGAAGGATAGTTCCTTCCAACACAGTCATGGCCTTTTGAAGGTAACTTCATTCTCTTTCTGAATTGGGCTACTATGTGATAAATTACAAAATTGTTGGGGATGGAAGTAAAACATCACAATGAGACAAACAAGAAATAGAAATGTAGCAGAAAGAAAAAGGGACACCAGGATTTAATGTGGAAAAAATCGAAATCGGAGGAAAAAAAATACGGAGCCACACCACGCCAAGAAATTCATTATGAAAATTGGGAGAAATAAGAACAAGTCTCTCTTCTCTTTCACTTTATCCATCTCTTCTCTTTTACACCATTCTTTCACTCAAAAAACAAGAGAAAGACAAGTAAATAACATCAAAGGACACCACTCTTCAGAAAAATGAAAAAGAAATCTGTCTTATCCACCTTAAAGCGTTGCGACGCTACTTTGGAGCGCTGCAGCGCTCAAGCCTCTATCATTTGTCCATCTGAAGATGATGTGACACTGAAACCCATAGCGCTGCAACATCACACAGAGTTGCGACGCTTCGCTCTCTGTCGTGTTGAAGTGCTTTGCTCTCTGTCGTATCTCCCAGCAAACTCTATAGTGTCAGGGTGCCGTGCACATGGCGCTGGGGCGTTGTACAAAAAAATATTTATGTGCAAAGCACTCGAACCCCCCCTCCCCCCCCCCCCCTGATTCTGACAAATTGGACTGAGATCCGAGGTAACTATACAATCCGATTGATTGACACAATCAAATTCCACATAGACTAACAATCTCTCACTTGAAAACTGATTATAATCATTCCTTCTTCAAATCTGTAACATCAATCATAGTACTTGTAGAGTGGCTTACCCTTATTCTCATCCTCGATGAAAACCAACTGAAACTATGCATAGCTTCAATTTATGAACTGTCATCGTCTTCGTTAACATGTATGCAAGATTTTCGGTCATGTGTATATTTTGCAAAGATAATTGGCCATCTTCTAGAAGTGACCTTACGAAATTATACCGAAGCTGAACGTGCTTCGTTCTTGCATGGAATGCAACATTCTTGGCTAGATGAATAATGCCCATGCTGTCAATATGTAACTTCTTATTCCTTTGTCCCTTGCCAAGTTCATTCAAGAAAAGATACACGAATTGTTAGTTTTAACCTTGGGATCAAATTGAGACGTTTTCTAATATTTGGGGACCAAATTGAGTCATCATGAAAGTCTGGGACTAAATTGACATTTATTAATAGTTGGTGGACTATTTAGGATTTTTACTCTTAATAATATGCTACTTAGTACTATATATATTGAGCTAAGTTTTTTGGTCATAAACAAACTATTTATCATCATACAACATAAATTTGTAAGCATTCAACTATGTTTCCTCAACCTAAACAAATAGGATGAGCTAGATCAGTCTAGTTCGCTTTGAATGATTAGCCTATGTGGATGAGAGGAGGCATTAACCTCCACTCGGTGCCCTTTTCCCTTGGTGGTTGGAAAAGGCCGCAAAAAAGTTGTCACCATATTTCTTTCTTACCGTTGGAGGTTGATGATGATCTGGCTAGAGGCGATGGAAAGTAATAGAGATTACCCATTGTCCTTTCTATTCTAGATGATATCAAAGGGAACAATGGTTGTAGCAGTGACAGAGCAAGTTTAGCAATGAAGGATAGCCAGTAGAATGTGACACTTTGGTATCAGAGAATTGTCATCTAGCTGGTAGTTGCTTCCCTGATTAGTTATTTCTAGGAAAGCAGGAGACAAAGGCTTCGTTTGGGATGGTTTTCTTACTGCTTCTTAAAGCAGCTTTCAAGTACAACAAATAATTTTTTTTTAGCAATAAAAAAGTCGTCCCAAATGAAGCCAAAGTCCTGTGATGAAGATTAATGATGGTTGAGGTTTTTTTATTTTATTTTTGTGAATACCTCCAGTATGATCAGTGATCATTCTTGCCATTTATTATCTTTTCTTATCCATTATGTTTGCATCAATCCAGACAGGCCCTTGCTATTATTTTAGTTGCATCAACTCGGAGATGTTGGGAACCAAACACTCTCCTACTTTATTTTAATAAGCCTTATATTGGTCTTTACCTGCAAACTAATAATCGCTTTTTAGCCTGAGAGAGTCTGTACCGAATGTTGTTCCAACCTTGTGCCATCTATATAGTAATCTAAATGGCACTTTTCTACTCAATAAATACATCTAATTAGGGAAATACCATAAAATCTAAGCAGGCAAGAGATCACAACTAAACAAGCAGCAATTCTCATATTGCAACAAAATTCAAAAATTGCTGTAATGAAGAATATTGAATTAAACGGCCTCTTAATAAACTTTTTCTTCGATTTGTGAAAAGAACGTTCCTACAGCATTTGAACATCAGCCTTTTGGGCAAAGTGTAGGATCTTTTGGGGGTTGTAGCTTAAATATGCTAAACTAGAAAATATGCAAGTAAAAAAATTAAAAAATGAGCTGCCAAACTAAATCCTACATTAACTTACATAGATCAACAAAATAAACTAGATCTACTTGCATGGAAAAAACATAAGACACCCAAAATAATTAGTTCCATCGAACTGAGAATAGCGTTGATGGGGCAACATATGAAGAAGTAATCAGAACCACCTGAGATATCTGATAAGGAATCAAAGTGAAGGCAAACAAAGGAAATTCACTTCAGAGAAAATAAAATTAGCCACCGTAAATAAAAATTAATGGAAGAAAGCATCATCAGAACAGACAAAAAATGATTCGGAGAGCACAACATTAGAAATTTAGCGGAAGAATTAAACAGAAGTGCCACCAAAAAATATTGATCAATCCAGCGGAACAACCATTAAAGAGCAAAAACTGCAGAAGAAAACTTTCCTAGCAAGGGAGCCATGAAAGGCAAATAGGTGAGAATTTAAGAGAGAACGATTATTATATCCTATGAAAAGGGACTCAGATTAAAGATTAAGCATAGAATCTGAACCGAAAACAGCTGGCTGAAGATCATGGATGTTTTTTTCCTATATTAGATGTGCTTTGTCTACGTACTAATTTTAACTACCATCATTATTAGCAACTAAACTTTTTGGTGTTAGCAGCTGCGATTAATATTATACACAACAGGATGATTTACTTAAAAATAAAGTTTTCAAATTATTGTTGCTTCCATTTTTCTTCTTGCAATATTTTGTCTATCATGATATATGGCCGAGTTTAAAATGATTTGGACATATTTCACTCTCTAGATGTGCTGTATAAGGTAGGGTTGTCAATATTTGACACAACCCGAAAATTTTGATTTTGTGTTTGGGTTGACCTGAACTCGAACCGGGTTGGGTTAGGGTTAGGGTTTTCTACCCGTTTCAAAAATTGGGTCCGGTTCGGGTTGACCCAGAAACCTGAAAATGACTCGGAATGACCTGGTTGCCCGCTCTACCTACGTAGCCTGCTCGCATTGCATTGAGTCGCTGCACGCATCACATCGCCTGCCCGTGATGCCGCTGCCCATGCTTCACCGCCTCGCCGCGAGCCGGTGATGCTGTCACGCCTGCTATTGTCGCGCCTCGCCGCTGCAGTGCGTCGCCTCGCGTCGCCACTATACGCAATTCCGCGTCGCATCGCCTGTCGCTGTCGAACCCGAAGTCCAAAAAATGGTTCGGGTCCAAAAACTAACTTGTTTGAAAAAATGGGTCGGGTTCAGGTTGACCCGAATAGTGCCAGGCCAATTTCGGGTTCAATCCGAATCCGACACGTGACCCGAAATTGACACCCCTCTATGAGGGAAACAAATATGCATTATTTCTTGTTAAATTGAAACCTCAAAATTGAATTTTTGAATATCATTAGTAGCAGTAGAAAATGATTCCGAAGTTTCTACTCAAGTACTTAAATAAAAACTGTGCAGTCACTAGTGGTATTTGTTCAATTATCAGTAATAAAAAACATGCGCAGTCACTATTAGTATTTGTTCAATTATCATTAAAGAATTAATATGATCCATTTTGCAGTTGAAAGCCCAATTATCAGAGTATTATAGTCATCAAAATTGAATATCACATAGCTTATATTTTATGGAATCCGTCTTCTGTTTGTTTTGCCATTCCAATAACATAGTTTCTTCATCTGCTTATCTTTTACTGCTCTTACTTGAAACTGCTTTCTATAAAACTGAGAAGATCCCTTGGACGATTATTCTTCAACTTTCTCCCTCTAACCTAACAAATGCTATTATTCTCCTGTAAAAAAAAACAGTTGCATTTGCAAGGATGTTGTTTCCAATGGAGGCAAGAGTCGCTATGGATATTGCCCAAGTTGATGGCACCTTGGAGTTTTCACTAGGCACTTCTGCAAGCCATCGATCCACAGTAGACTTGAATGAAACACCTTTCAAGATTAAGGAAGAGCATCTAATTCGAATTAAAGCACTTTCCAGAACAGGTATATTCCTTATATTATTTACACTTCATGTGAACTGTTAAATTGTTATTATGCTTGTGACCATCTTCTTACAACAACAATTTTAAGAATTTAAATAAAAATTCTTAAATTCATTATAATAAGAATTTTCCGCTACAGTTGAACTTGGGAAACGCTTCTTTCCCCGATGCTCGGAGGTTCTGAACCAAATTATGGATGATGATGTTACTGACCTGACTTCTTCTGGGAATAATTCCACCGAATATGGAAGGAAGAGGTACATGGAACTCCAGGATATTTTAACCAAAGCTTTTACTGAGGATAAGGAAGAGTTTGATAGGTCTTCTTTGTCTTCGTCGTCGTCATCCACATCAGTAGTAATTCAGGCAAGGAATTTTGTTTAGATTTGTGCTGTTTTTGAACCAGATTCTATCTTTTGCAGCCATTTTAGCTTTTGCAGCCATTTTTGCTTTTGCATGTAAATACTTTCTGCTGAATGTTTTAGCAGTAAAGGCTTTTAATCAAATTTTGTTTATGTAAATATAGTCTTGATCAATAAATATATGTGCATTTTTCTATGATGTGTTGGATAGATGGATAATTTTTCTTCTGAAATGAATTTAACACTGGTGATGATATTACTTCAGTGCTGCTTCTCTTTTTTCATTTGAAGCATTTTGCACCAAAAAAAAAAAAGAGATCTTGACTAACTATACACTTTCATCATATTGATCACATTTTTTTCCTTTTTTTTTTCTTTTTTCTTTTTTAAGGACAAAGTAAGACTCTTCTTTTGAAATCATTCTGATACTGTAATTCTCAAGAGTGGACTTTTGCCTTGACTGTACTATAAATAATGCTTTGGGCATTGTGTTCTCTGCTCGATAACTTGTTATATTGTTCTGTGCAAATGTAAGCCATAAGATTTACAATGATATTGTGCTTTGCAAATAACCCATATAAAAGTTCATTTTGGTTCACTTAGAGAGGACGAAGAGAAAGGGTGGCCTCTATGTTAGCTTACTCCTTGATGAAGGGTGTAGTCTGATCTGTAAGAAGATGAGAAGGAAAAGAAGAGGTGGAGATAATCAAGAGGAAGAGAAACACACAAAAGATTTAAGTGGTTAAACTTGTCGGTCTGTGCCCATTGTCGAGGAAGGGGAAGATTTTCACTCGCCCTGAAGTTTCCCTAGCTCATGATTTCTGATCGAGGTTAAAAGTTTTCTATATCAACAATGATGGAGAGATTATTATGTGCGGACATCGAACACAGCTTACCGTCCAGAGGCCAATCATGTGCAGTCACGTCATCTAGTACCGAGCCGTGGTACCGACTAGGGGTGACGTGGCGCATTTTCATTGAGCTCTGGACAACGTTTGGCGTCCACACAGAATAATTCATTGGTGGTTGGACCTAAGAGTGATGGGGATACTTAGTAGAGAGCTTGTATAGGGCATTAAAGGATGTTTCTGGCATGGCGGTTTCTTCATATAGGAAGTGGCCATATGGCATCATTGACATGGCTTGATCAAGTGGTGATGGTTTAGGCATGATAGGCCCAAAAGAAGGAATCTTCCATGGTTCAAGGAGAGAGCCCAATCATAACAGAAGGATGATTTCATGCAGATGTGCTTGGATAAAGGTCTTTGATGATCTGACTAGATTTACAAAATGTAGAGTTGAGCAGTGGAACTCTAACTTGCCAGATGGTTTGATCTTGATCTATCAAATTGGGAAGCTCAAACTAGTTAGTCTTATAAGTCTAGATGGTCTTGGCATGTCATCACACATGCTTCTTTCGAACTCTAGTCCAATTTCGATCAGCCTATAAATTCAGATTGATTAAACTATAATTCAAATTCATTGTGATCTATGGATGGCCCAAATACAGCTAAAAAAATAAAGTATTATGCTTCATCTTCATTCTAAAACCCTATTTATAAGGGTTTAAAGTGACACAAGAGTAATTCTGGATGTTACATGCAGTACTGTAGCGTGACATTCTCTGCTCTAGAGTAATTTTGGATTCTACATGCAGTACTGTGGCGCTGGGTCTAAGCACTGCAGTGTTAGGCCACTGACCATATATATATATATATTTGCCTCTCCCCTCACCTCTCCCTCACTTCATTGCTTAGCCTGGAAGAAATGGGAGAAGAAGAGGGAAAGAAGGGAGGAAGAAGAGGGAAGGAGAGAGAAAGTGTTCTATTTGTTGTAAGTAATTATTCTCTTATTTATAGTTTAAATTATTTTGATTATACAAATTTTCTCTCCTAAATCTACCAAAAATACATTCTCTTAATTTTGTAAGCTATCACCATGTAACTTTTGCTATGTTATAGATTTGATCATTATAAATAATTTAATATGATATTATTACAGTATAGAAATTTTCAGGTAAAATGAGCCTAGAGAAGGTATATTAAAAATGGATTGAAAGTTATGTATGATGATTTGATATAATAATACTGAAATATAATATGTGCTGAAATGATTGGTAGTACACATATGTACTTAAATGTGATATTGATCTGATTGAAAGGTTGTATTATACTGATACTATTTTTATAAAAAAATGATATACTAATTGATATCATAATGTGGTAACCTCAATACTCATTATTTAATTGATGGGAGTCATAAGGAGTTGGAGACTGATAGAGTGATAATTGATTCACCTTATTTAATGGGAGTTATAAAGAGTATACTGATTGAGAGCATAAGAGATACCCGATTGAAAGTTATGAATGCAGGAGCAAGATACCCTCACATGAATATCAGATATAATGTTGATTATTGATTACATATTACATATATGAATTATTACTGATTTTGATTACTAATAATTGAATATTGATTACTAATTATTGATATTGTACATGTTTTGATACTAAGACACCAATTTCTATTTGTACTCCACATTACCGAATACAAATATTGATATTACTATACAATTGATTGACTGATGAAGATTATTGAATGATATGACTGAATGAATTTGATTGAATAATAAAAACAAAATAATCGATTGATACAGGTGACTATCACAGATAGTATATATTGATCCATAGATTTTCTTTCGTGATTTATAGCATAATATTGTTTCTCTTTTGCCCTGCATTTATTTTAGTTATAAGATTTTGAGTACTTACTAGTAGGGGTGTCAATTTTTGACACGACACGAAACACGACCCGAACCCGACCCGGAAAAATCCGGGTTTGGGTCAACCCAAACCCGAAACGGGTCGGGTTCGGGTTCATGAAATCAACCCGTTTTAAAAATCGGGTCGGGTTCGGGTTGACCCGCCAACCCGAAATTGACCCGAAAGTGAGACGAAAACTCATTTTTGACCCGAAAACCCAAGATTGACCCGTTTTTTACCCGATTTTGACCCGAAAACCCGAGATTGACCCGTTTTTGACCCGATTTTGACCCGAAAACCCGAGATTGACCCGTTTTTTACCCGATTTTGACCCGAAAACCCGAGATTGACCCGATTTTTGACCCGAAAATTAGCAATTTTGGGTCAATTCCGGGTCATTCGTGTCGGGTCGGGTTGACCCGGACCCGAATCGGGTCGGGTTCGGGTCCAGAAACCTGACCCGTTTTTAAAAACGGGTCGGGTTCGGGTTGACCCGAACAGTGCCGGGTCAGTTTCGGGTTCGACCCGAACCCGACCCGTTGACCCGAATTGACACCCCTACTATAACCAAACAAGACTTTGATAACTATTTGAAAAGCAAATTTTTTTCAAAAAGGCACCATATGAACCCTCGATTAGAGCTAGCCTTTGTTCACCGACATCAATTCAAGTTCAATCTTCCAAATCATTAAATTTTAGATAATTTTGCCAATCTTCGAGTCATTCAAAATGCCGACCTTCAATCCATATATAAATTCATACATGTTACACACATGAGTGCATGCATATATAAACACAAATATGCATAAAAAGTAGATTTATACAACCGTGTGCATATTAAAAACACATGATCTAATATCAAGATTTCAATTTGTCATTCCTCACTTGAATTTTCATTCGAGTTTGAATGGAAGTTGTAGGAGAATTTAAGGGTAAATGCTCATATTATACATAGCTACATATGACAATTTTTAAATTTAGGATGGCAAGAGACACCCAATCTCACTCGAATTCCACCGCTGCTCTCCGTTCACTATTTCATAGCCTGATAACAGCCAAAAGGTGATTCAATATTTGATCTATTATGATCAAAGTTTATAGTCTTTTATGGATGATATAATTTAATACTTTTCTCAAGGAGTGCCAAATTGAGATTCAGTACTTCATGACAAAAACAAAGGTGCATATGCTCTTTATTTTGTAAGACCAAAACATCAGGAATCTGTTAATAATTTAACATGCTCTTTCTATAGTAATACAAATCAAGTAAACCAGTGCCTGTAACCAATCCTTCAGTCTGCATAGCCACTAATATACATATAAGAGCCCAGGGTTCAAATCCTAATTAAAGCTGGAACATCAAACAATAAATAGTTTCCCTATTCTAACTAGCCAGTTTGAATATGTTTAGATAGAGCTCTTATTGTTGGTATGTTGTTGTTTATCAACTGCAGCAACCATCTGATTTTGCTGCATCGTTTGTGGTCCATAAGTGCAAATGTTCATCACCTACAAAGAAGCTAAAGCGTCACACTCATCCCAAGAGTTATCAAAGAAAAAGGGTTCGTTTGTGACAGCTTTCTTACTGTTTCTTAAAATAGCTTTATAGTACAAAAGTTAATTTTTTTGTACTCAAAAGCTGCTTTAAAAAACAGTAAAAAAGCCGTCAGAAATGAAGCCTAAATTACCAAAAAGATTCAAATTCAGAAACCTGAGGAGGCATTTGCATCTGAGGAAAGCCAAAGTAGCTTGAATATTGCTCAGGGATATGAAAGTTATGCATCTGGGTAGCAAAATTAATAGAATTTGGGCCTTGAGGAGGGCAAACATGTGGTTGGTTTGATATAGAAGTTCCAAGTGTAGTAGACTGAATATCAGATGATACTTTTGGTGGTTGAACTGGATTTGGTATTGATGTCATTGAATGATGATTCATTGCATTGCCCATGCATGACACGTACTGCTGAATACTAGGAAATAACATTGGCGCCACGCCATTTCCCATCCACATTATCTGAGAAGCCGGCAAGAGAGCAAGAGTGTTGAACCTTCTGAATAAAATTTTGATTTATATAATAAAGAAGGATGTAATATGTTTTTCATACCTGAAGTTGTAATTGGAGTGATTTCAAATACTCGATAGCTTCATCAAGCATTGATGCTTTGTCTGACTAAAAAAAATAAGATAATCACAAAATCAACGCCCAACAAGGTACATGCATCATAAAGATAATTTAGTTCCTTCTAACATGCCATTTTAGCAAGAGAACTAATTTTCCACAGTATAATAAATATAATAACATGAGAAAGCTTCCTTCGGAATTTTGAAATAGACAATAGAAAAATGATCACACATTTACCTTGTTGCAATGAGGGATGAGCTCTTGCAATGCCCTCATCTTTTCATTGATCTTGTCCCTTCTTCTCTACATGA